ACTCGCGAGGAATTCTCAAGCGAAACGTGCCGGACCACATCCATCTCGCGCGGCATCTCGCAGCTCAGAATTGAAAGGATGTTTCAGGCGAAACGCGCCAGACCACCTCGCGCGCGGCAGCTCGGAGCTCAGAGTTGCGGGGGTGTCTCAGGCGAGACGAGCTGGACCACCTCTCGCGCAGCATCTCCGCACCTGTAGCTGCGGGGGCGTCTCAAACGAAACTAGCCGGACCGCTCCGCGCGCGGCAGCTCGGAGCTCAGAATTGCGGGGGGGCTCGAGCGAAACGCGCCGGATCTCCTCGCGCGCGGCAGCTCGGAGCAGAAATGCGAGGATGTCTCCGGCGACACGCGCCGGGCCACCTTGCGCGCGTGCAGCTCGGAGCGCAGAGCGCCGGGCCACCTCTCGCGCTGCAGGCCGCAGCCCAGAGTGGAAGATCTCTCGAGCGAAACGCGCCAGACCACCTCTCGCGCGCGGCAGCTCGGAGCTCAGAATTGCGAGGACCTCTCGGGCGAAACACCCATTCCTACGGGAACAACAAGTGACAAAAACATAACAACTCGGAGGTCCGCGCGGATTTCTCACATCGGCGCTGGGGCCCCCCGGCGGCGCCTCCGGCGTCGCCCCTAGCGCGCTCCGCGCGCCAGGGAGGGGGGTCTAGCGCCGATCCGAGAAATCCGCGCGGACCTCCGAGTTTTTATGTTTATGCACTTTTGGTTCCCCAAATTCCTGGCCAACTCAGAAACGAGAGTTGCGAGGATGCCTCAAGCGAAACGTCCCGAAAACCACGTTTCCTCGAGGAGGTCTCTGCTCGCCCACCCCTCGGCCGGCACCAGCTCCTATCGCAATAGGCACCCCGCTCCGCAGGCTGCTGAAGCAAAAGCGGCAACGTCCGGATCTCAGGGAAGACTCTGGAGATTCGGAGGAGAAGGATGAGGATGAGGATGAGGAGGAGGGAGGAGGAGGAGGAGGAGGAGGAGGAGGAGGGAGGAGGAGGGAGGAGGAGGAGGGAGGAGGAGGCGGAGGAGGAGGAGGAGGAGGAGGGAGGAGTGAGGAGCGAGGAGGCAGGAGGGAGAGGAGGGGGAGGAGGAGGAGGAGGAGGAGGGGGAGGAGGAGGGAGGAGGAGGAGGCAGGGGAGGAGGAGGGGTGGGATTAAGGGAAGGAGGGAGGAGGAGAGGAGGGGAGGCGAGAGAGGGAGGCTGAGGAGGAGGGAGGAGGAGGAGGAGGAGGAGGAGGGAAAAAAAGGGAGGGGGGAGGAGGGAGAGGAGGAGAGGAGGGAGGGGAGGAGGAGGACGGAGCCAAGCAAAAGAGAAGGAGGAGGAGGGAAAAGGAGGAGGGGAGGAGAGAGGGGCGGAGGAGGAGGGGGGGATCGGCAGAGGTGAGGAGGACGGAGGAGGAGGAGGAGGGAGGAGAAGGAGGAGGAGGAAGGGGAAGAAGGAGGAGGGGAGGAGGACGGAGGAGGAGGCAGGAGGAGGTAGCGAGGAGGAGTGAGGAGGCAGGAGGGAGGAGGGAGGAGGAGGAGGAGGAGGAGGAGGAGGAGGAGGAGGAGAGGAGGAAGGAGGACCGCCGCCCGCACGACGAGAAGAGAAGAAGCCCGCTTCCTCCTCCTCCTCTCCTCCTCCGCCCACCCCTCCCCTCCTACTCCTCCTCCTCTCCTCATCTCTCGTCGACCTCCTCCTCTCCTCTTCCTCCTCATCTCCTCCTCCGCCTCCTCTCCCCGCTCCTCCTCCCCCTCCCCCTCCTCCTCCTTTCCTCCTCCTCCTCCTCCTCATTCTCCTCCTCCGCCTCCTCCTACTCATCCTTCCTCTCATCCCCCTCCCCCTCCCCTCCCATCCTCACCCTCCCCATTCCTCCCTCCTCCTCTCCTCCTGCTCCTCCTCCTCCCCTCCTCCTCCTCCTCCTCCTTCCCCTTACTCCTCCTCCTCCTCTCCTCCTCTCCTCCTCCTCATCTCCCTCCTGGGTGCCCACCAAAGCCGCTTCTGCACCGGGCTGGCGGGTGCCCTCCCGGCACGAGAGGCAGGCCGGCAGGCCGATCCAGGGAGGAGGCGGGCCCTCCTCCTCCCCGAGGCCGCTGCTGGCCTGCCGCTCCGGCAGGTGCACAAGCCGGTGTTGGCCGACGATCCTTGGCTGATGGGCCTATCTTCCACCACCAGTGCCACAGGAGGGAAGGAGGAGGAGGAGGAGGAGGAGGAGGAGGAGGAGGAGGAGGAGGAGGAGGAGGAGGAGTGAGGAGGAGATGAGGAGGAGGAGGAGGAGGAGGAGGAGGAGGAGGAGGAGGAGGAGGAGGAGGAGCATGAGGAGGAGGAGGAAAGAAGTGAGGAGAAGGAGGAGGAGGAGGAGAGGGGAGGAGGAGAAGGAGGAGGAGGAGGAGGAGGGGAGAGGAGGGGGAGGAGGAGAAGGAAGAGGAGGAGGAGGAGGAGGGGGAGGAGGAGGAGGAGGACGAGGAGGAGGAGGAGGAGCTCCCTACCCTCCCCTCTCCCCCGTCCTGCATATGATAGCGGTGGTGGAGGATTTGCCCATCATCAGTACGCGTGTTGCCGCCAGCTCGTGCTCGTTCACCGAAGCCCTGCCATAATTACGACGCGGGCGGTGCAACAATCGAGAACAGCTTCGCGCTCTCGCGCTGGCCCCCTAGGGAAGAAGAGGAGGGCGAGGAGGACGAGGACGAGGAGCCAGCGCGAACCGCGACCAACTTCGCTCCCTCGTGGCGGTCCTTGTGCGCGGGGCACCACGCACCGGGCCAACTTTTTCCGTCGGCGGCGAGGCGGAGGCAATCCGCACCAGCGTGGGGCAGATTGTCCAGTGCGCAAGAGAGCGAGGAGGAGAGGAGGGCGGCCGCGCTGGGATGACACACGCCCCAAGGATCGTCGACCGTGCCGCTGTTCCCCCGACCGCTCCCTCCAAGGAAGCAAGAACGGGCACGTTCATGCTGCAGGCTAGTGCCGTGACGACCCAGGGGCTTGTTTTACAGTCAACCAGTATCGTAAGGATGCGCGATAAGGATGCAAGGGCCTTGGACGCCCATTTCGAAGCTTTTCGAGCGGGGCGTGGCCAGCGAAAGCGGCGAAGGATGGACTGAGGAGACAAGGATGCAAGGGTACCCTTGGGAAGGTTGCCCATCCTTGCTATGCTTAGGTCAGGCCTCTCCCCCTACAGGGGGATTTTTGGACGAAAAATAAAAAAAAACCCAACCATGCTCACATGATGCCCTAAACTACTCCAGACAGAATCCCCAGACTATCGTTGTACTATTCTTGAACACTCCCCCTGTAGAGGGACATGCCCGACTTGATACCATGCGGGTTGACCGTACCACACAGCGTGGGCCCGTTCGGCCTCGAGCGATCGCCAGATCGTGCCACGCTGGCCGACCCAGGGCCGCCAGCAGCGCTCAACCCTGCACGCCCGCCCTTGGGCCGCCACCCCGCGCCGACACGACGCGAGCCTGCCGTGCACCGTCGGACTCGTGGAAGTTTGGACTGCTTTGTCTTGCCCGACCCGACCGCCTGGTTCCGGTACTTTGCCCTCTCTTGGCCTTGACGTGAGGCCCCTTCTTCTGTCCTCCTCCCTCTGTCAATTAAAGCTGTGCGCGGCCCGCTCAGCTTCGACCGGAAGAGGCTCGCTCTCGACCCGCGGATCAAAAAAATCTTGCCCGACCCTTTGTGGGCCCCAGAAACGGCAGGGCCGTTTTTGCACCGTTTCCAAAAAAAGTGCCTTGAAAATGGAAGCGGCAAAAAACGGCGACCGGAAACGGCAAAAAACGGCTGCAGGATTGGAGCCGGAGCCGGAACCGGTCAAAAAAACGGCGACGGAACCGGTAAAACAACGGCGTCGGAACGGGCAAAAAAACGGCAAAACGGAACCTGTAACAAAAACGGCCCTTTCGTTTCCAGGGCCCACTACGGCCCGACCCTGTCGGCGCCACCCTCTCGACGGGGACTTCTTCTGATCGATAGGCTGTTTCGTCACGCTGGCATGCGCAGCACGTGCACAAGGACTGGCCTGAATACGATGGTCCAGCCTGGCTAATTCGATGAGCCGCCCAGGCTGCATGCCCCTGTGCACACATTCCGAGAATCACTGTGATAAACATAGCGTAGGAGGGTACAAATGGAGAGGTACCGGTGGGCAGCAGCATGGGCTACAGCTCGAACGACACGGGCTAACGCCCAACGTCCGTGCCATCCAGGCGAATTTCCGAGTCAATTGACTCGGCGGCGTCCTCGGCAGGCCAGAAAGTGATGCGATTCAATCCCATGCGCTCTCAACATACTAGCACTTTCCCCGTTCCCCTGCTCCTCTTCCCGCTCCCTGCCCCAGTTCTACGTCCTTAAGCACCACGGCGGCCCATCAAAATGCGACGGTCCGGGGCGCGCGCACATAGGCTACAAATGCGACACTGTCGGGCCGTAAGCCTATCAACAACATGATGCAGGGATGGTGACGAGGGTCGCTCGTCAACACTGTAGTGCCGAGGCTGGGCAACAGCGTGGGCTAGCTACAGCCTAAGCTGGCCATCGCTCGGACGTCCATTCCCTGTGTTTTTTTCGCCAAATGATCAAGGATGCTCCTCGATGGTCCTCGCCGAGGAAAAACGCACACGTCCGAGCGATGCCAAGTAAGAAATGGAAGCTAACGCTCAACCATTGGTGCCAGACAGACAAATTCCAACTCAATTGATCAGCAGCGCCCGCTGCAGGGCAAGTAGGGCCCAGGGCCCAGGGCCCAGGGCCCAATTCAGCTGCGCTCAACAGACCCCATGTGCTTCTCATCTCACCCCAGTCTGCTGCCGCTTCCCAACACTTTCTCCCTGCTCCTCCTTTGGCTGATGGTGGTGCTGTTGCTGCTGCTGCTTCTCACGAGGCCTGCCCCGCCCTGAGAATCGGCCCGATAACGTCGTTAACCAACAGACGGTACCGTAATACACAAACCAACAATGGCATTCCGTGTGGCAACGCACAGCGTCCTCTCATTCCGGTCATTTGCATCAATCATCTCCCTCTGCATCCCGTCCTCCATAGAACGCAGCCCCTGCGGGACCCCTTCCTGGGGGAATCTTCATCACAGAATCCGCAATTCTGCGCACAAATCCATTCCGCGTGAGCTCTGACTGGGAACGGCCGCGGGTGTGCTGCGATCAGACGAAACACGGCCGCCGCACCCAACGCCACATAGGAGGAAGACGAGGCGGAAAAGTCGAGAACCGTGGGAGCCGTGAAACATCATGAGAACGAAGGCCCCGAGTTTGGCCGCCCTGCCTCGAGCCCGCGAGGCCCTCTGTGTGAATCATTGGTGAGTGCAGCGGGTACAGTGCAGGCGAGCTCTTTGCTCGGACTCGCGCATCTATCGCGAGACGAGGCTGCCAATGTGGTGAACAGCAATAACCACCGACCAAGCCTCACCTTAGGCTGGGTGAAGGGCTCTAGACTCTGCACCAGCATTGCGACGATTACCTCTTGAAATCGATCGAGTGAATGAAACTTCATCTAGAAGTCGTGCACGCTCTCCAGATACGGGAACGGTCGGCCACACTTCTGGGCGGCCAGCGGCCTCGGCCAGAGCGGCTGCGGGGCGCGGCTGCCGCGGAGGGCGAGCTCGGGAGCGTGGAGCGGGAGGAGGAGGAGGAGGAGGAGGAGGAGGAGGAGGAGGAGGAGGAGGAGGGAGGAGCAGGAGGAGGAGGAGAGGAGAGGAGGAGGAGGGAGGAGGAGGAGAGGGAGGAGGAGGAGGCGGAGGAGGAGGAGGAGGGAGGAGGAGGAGGGAGGAGAAGGAGGAGGAGAGAGGAGGAGGAGCAGCAGGAGGTGGAGGGAGGAGGCAGAGGATGGAGGATGAGGAGGGAGGATGAGGAGGAGGTGGAGGAGGAGGAGGAGGAGGAGGAGGAGGAGGGAGCAGGAGGAGGAGGAGGAGGATGGAGAAGGAGGAGGAGGAGGGAGGAGGAGGAGGAAGAAGCTACAAATATTAGAAGAAACAACAAGTCGCGTGTGGACCTGTCGATGGGGCCAGCCCGTGGGCCAGCGGCCCCGGCCGAGAGCCCCGCTCAGTCGTCGTAGCATTCGGGCTGCGCGCTCAGGAGGATCGCCTTGAGCAGCTCTCCGCCGTCGGCGCCGAGGTCACGCCAAGCAGCTCCGCGAAAGGGCGCCTCAGCGAGCTTGCCCACGCTCCAGAAGCAGATGCTGCTGCTACCGACGGGCTGCAGGCGGCCGCTGCTGGAGCCCGGCAAATCCAGGTGGTCGCACAGGGAAAGCCGTTGACCAGACTGGCTCTCACTGGATCCCGTCCTCGTGCGCGGCCTGCGCCCCCTGGCCCTGGCACTGTGGGCTTCCAGCTCGGCGAACTTCTCCGGGCCGTGAGGGAAGTGGCAGAAGTTGCAGCTCTCGTGATGGGCCCATTTTCCACCACCACTGCCATGTGTAGGATGATGATGATGATGATGATGATGATGATGATGAGGAGGAGGAGGAGGAGGAGGAGGAGGAGGAGGAGGATGATGATGATGATGATGATGATGATGATGATGATGAGGAGGAGGGAGGAGGAGGAGGAGGAGGAGGAGGAGGATGATGATGATGATGAGGAGGATGATGATGATGATGATGATGAGGAGGAGGAGGAGGAGGAGGAGGATGATGATGATGATGATGATGATGATGATGATGAGGAGGAGGAGGATGAGGAGGAGGAGGAGGAGGAGGAGGAGGAGGAGGACCATGAGGAGGAGGAGGACCTCCTCGCTTCTCCCCCGTCCTGTGTATATATATATATATATATATATGTGTATGGTGGTGGAAAAATATGTGTATATATACACATATATATATATATATACACATATATATATGTGTATATGTATATGTATATATATACACATATATATATGTGTATATGTATATATATATGTGTATATGTATATACATATATATCTATATGTATATGGTGGTGGTGGTGGTGGTGGAAAACCTGCCCATCCTCTCGCCGCGGGGGCACTTCTCGGGGGCCTCGTGGAAGCGGCAAGGGCGGCACTGGCCCCTGAAGTGGTTCTTCGAGCCCCTCGATGCCGTGCCCGCGACGGCCAGCGGCGGCGGCGGCGGCGCGACGCCAAGGGCAGGGCCCTCGCCGAGGCTCCGCGGGTCCGCGGGGGCGGCGCCCTGCTGCGGCGCCGGGGCGACGGGGACGCCGGAGATCTGGATCGGGAGCTGCATCAGCAACATCGCTTCCCAGAAATCCGACGCTCCAACAAGAATCAGAGCGGCGGGATTTTGGCAGTTTTCGGCCTCTGGGGGCCCTCGCCGGGCCTCTGGAGCGTCAAACAACGACTCGGGGCGACAACCTGGTCCCGGGGAAGTGGTCCAAACCTCTGGGGCCCACGCATCGACAAAAATTGGAGCAGCCGGATGTCTGTGTTCGAGCTTCGGGTGGCACCCCGCCAACACCTCCCCGGGCTGGGTGCTCCGTCTGCCTGGGCCACCGCTGCTTGCTCTTGAGCCCGAACGGCTACGGAGCCTCTGAACGGGGACTTTGGCCGATGCAGGATGGCTGCGTTCTCCTGCCACTCTCCTGCGCCAGCCCGTGCGCGGGTGGCGCTTTCCTGCCACTTTTCTGCGCGCTGCCTGGGTCCCCAGACATCCGACGATCTAATTTTTTCAACTCGATCCCCAGAGGTTTCGACCACTTCCCCAAGCAGATTTTTCGCCCCGGATCTGTTTTTGATGGTCCCTGGCCCCGATTACGGGCCCTGGAGGCCGACATCAAAGAAACACGACCGGATGACAAAAAACAAAAGCGTCGGAGATCCGGGTGGCCCTGTAGGCCGAAATCGAGGAAACACGACCAACTTGAAAAAAGGGGGAAGGTCAGGGGGGTGACAGGCTCCCGGGGGGGGGAAACATCGAGCTTGAATCGCCAATTGATCGGCGACTTGCCTCCGATAGCTGATCCGCACGTTTCTTGGCGGGGTGGGCCATCGGGCCCCTCTCGGCGATGAGTGGACAATCGCGAGTCGATGCATCCCCTCTGAGCAGCCCTCGTCGGTTCTCGGGTCATGACTCGGGTCTCAGTCTCCGGCGGCCGTTTGGAACAAGTCCGGCACCCCCAGACCGCCCTCGGCGCGGCGCAACTGAAGGGGAACTGGAACACACAAATAAATACACACAAATAAAACAAATCCCCATATTTTCCCATATTTTCTGGATTTTTGTCTCCCCGCCCAATTCCCATATTTTCCCATATTTTCCTGGCACTCGACGATTCATTGTGTCTGTGTGTTTCTTTCCCTCCTGAGCAACTGCCGGAACGCACGCCGAGGCTGGAGCACCGCCGGGAACCGACGAAGACGTCCGCCGAAGGCGCGCAGACATGCATTAGCGATCCATGGATGTGGCGCGCGGTCGCCAAATCCATGGATCGGGGGGGGTGCCCTCCCCAAAATGCGGCCGGTGCCGCCTCGCTCGGCGGCGGAAATCCGCGATTTCCAACGGAAACGGGGCCCGTCGCTAACCCACGCCCCCTTGAGTCATGTTTGCGATGGCCTGAGAAACCTTCGCCCCTCGAACCTCCGCCCTCCCCCCCCAGCCTCGCCGATCCCCCTCAAACGTTGCCCCTGAGCTCCTCCCTACCTCTGGGGGTAGGAAAGGGATGTGGTGTAAAAGGGGTGTGATGCCAGGGTGTGGTGCCAGTGCTGGATCTGGCGAGGTGATCCATCGTAAATCACATCGCCACTTCCACGATTGGCGCCACATCCCTTTCAAGGCTGAACCTAAACGGTGTTTTTCGTTTCCGTGTTGCTTTCGTTTTCCCTCGCTTTGTCTCCAGTCCGCCTCTAACGCAAAACGAGACCGAAACGAAAACGGCCCACGAAATCGCCAAAACACCGTTTAGGTCCACCCCTGGTATGCATGTATGAATGTCTGTCTGTCTGTCTGTCCGTATGTCTGTCTGTCTGTATGTATGTATGAATGTATGTATGCATGCATGCATGTATGTATGCATACATGTATGCATGCATGCATGCATGCATGCATGCATGCGTGAGTGTGTGTGTGTGTGTGTGTGTGTGTGTGCCACATCCCTTTATGCCGACCTCCCCTTGCCGACCTCCCCGCGATCAGTGGCCCGCGATCAGTGGCCCTGGCCCATGCCCCGGCACGGGCGGCGGGGCGAGGGCTCGGCGGCGGCCTGGAGGCGACCACCTTGCCCCCCAGCCTCACCTCCACGTCCACGTGTGGGAGCGCCACGCTCTCCCACCTCTGCAGGGGAGAGGGGAGGAAGATGGTGATGCTGACGATGATGCTGATGCTGATGCTGATGATGATGCTGATGCGGATGCGGATGCGGATGCTGATGATGATGCTGATGCTGACGATGATGATGGTGATGGTAAATATGAGGATGATGACGATGATGATGCTGACGCGGATGGTGATGATGGTGCTGATGCTGACGATGATTATGATGATGTTGTTGATGATGATTATGATGATGATGGTGATGATGCTGATGATGAAGGAGTGGGAGGAGAAGGAGGAGGAGGAGGAGGCGGAGTCGGAGGAGGAGGACGATGACGAGGCGGATAAGGAGGAGGGGGAGGAGGAGGAGGAGGAGGAGGAGGAGGAGGAGGAGGAGGAGGAGGAGGAGGAGGGGGAGGAGGAGGAGAAGACCAGGGCACCAGCTCAGTGAGAAAATAACCGTAGAGGACCAGAGTAAATCCAGAATGCGCCAACGATGATGCAATGATGCAACACACCTTCCGTCCCAAATGCCCCCCGCTGCAAGCTCCTTCAAATCCGCCGGCCCTTCGGCGTGTGTGAGACGCTGACGTCGTCTTCGTCGTCGTCGTCGTCGTCTTCATCGCCAGCCCCAAAGAAAAATGAACGAACTGAGAAAAGAAACGTCATAATCAAATCGATTCCCTCCCCTTATTCCCCTGGGGGAAGGTCTGGGGTCAGATTGCCGCCCCCCCAAGGGTCCTGGCAGGTCCCAGGGGTGGGGGGGGTCCCCCGCAAGGGGACAACGGGACACCCGTCGGGGGGGAGGGGGTCGCCACCCCGGGTCCTGGCGAAGGTCCCGCCTGGTGGCGGGGAGGGGGGAGGGGGAGGGGGGGGGAGGGGAGGAGGAGGAGGAGGAGGAGGAGGAGGAGGAGGAGGAGGAGGAGGAGGAGGGAGGAGGAGGAGGAGGAGAGGAGGAGGAGGAGGAGGAGGAGGAGGAGGGAGAGGAGAGGAGGAGGAGGAGGAGGAGGAGGAGGAGGAGGAGGAGGAGGAGGGGAGGAGGAGGAGGAGGAGGAGGAGGAGGAGGGAGGAGGAGGAGGAGGAGGAAAAGGAGGAACAGGAGGAGGAGGAGGAGGAGGAGGAGGAGGGGAGGAGGAGAGAGGAGGAGGAGGAGGAGGAGGAGGAGGAGGAGGGGGAGGATACGACTGTGGCTGGCGGACGCCGCGCTTCGAGGTCAAGCCACGGGCCCCAGGCGTGCACAGCCGAAGGGGCAGCTCGAGCAGCCGCCCAAGGTGCCAAGAAAGACGGTGACCCCCACCCGAGAGACAGGATCTCGGAACCCCGCAGGCATCAACAAGAGAGAGGACAAGGAAGCAAAGGAAAATGAAGGCCCGCGGGGAGCACACCAGCATGGGTGCTCCACTCTCGCGAACCTAATCCCCGTCCCCGAATCGATGTTGAGAAAATCGGCTCGCTAAGAGCCTGGCCCAAAACGCTTCTGGGTCGGCAACATGAAGGGGGCGAGGAGCATGGATCCTACGATAATCCTGTATGCCCTCGTCCGCAGGGTGGAACCCCTGCCAAAAACTGCTGTCGGTTGCGAAGGGCACGTTCCGAAAGTCTATATGTAGGGTCAGTAGACGGGCATCCTACCAACAAATGTCCTGCCGTGCCAATGGTAAACAAACCCGCAAGAAACGCAGAGGCACACATGCACCGAAGAAACCCAAAGACGATGCCCTCTGGCCGCGGACGCAGGAACGGGCCCCGTTTCAGGCACGGCACGGTCAGGCACTACGGCGGCGGCCGAAGTAGGCCTGTTCCCGCGATGGCCGCCAACCCTTCTACGCTTATCAGGGCGAAACGCGGGGCCTTCGCGGTCTGAAATCGCAAAATCTCTGATGGCGAGGTCTCTGTCCTTAGACAGCATCCTTTACAGCGGCTATCGGTTCGAAGCTGACCCGAGGACGAACGTGGCGCTCTGGCCCGCTGCTCGGGGAGAGGCTGCGTTGGCGCCGCACGCCAGGGGAAAACGGCGCCGCCTCCTCGGGTCTGAGAGTCCCTTCCCGCGAGTCACACGATCGGGCGAAGGCAGAGGAGGGGGAAGGGTGGCCACCGCAGGCAGCAATGCCAAGGCTACGAACTTCGTGACCCAGCCTGCCTCTGCTGTCCTGACCGCTCGCGGCGTCACCAGGCCAGGGGCGCGCGGAGCGGAAGCAGACGCGGTCGAGGTCGCAGCCTTGGCAGCGCGAGTCCGGGCAGGGCAGGCACGACGAGAGAGAATATTGTGGGTGCTCTCAAGCTTCGAACCCTTCTTGCATAACGGACATCGCCAAAACTTGGCCGCAACGGGCCGAAGGACGCGTCTGAGCTCCGCGGGGACATCGCGGGAAACCGGAGCGGAGGCCCTGCGGGGCCTGGGCGGCTTCCGGCCTCGAAGTCGAGTGTCAAACCGTTTCCCAACAGGAAGGCGGCGACAGCCTGTGCATTCCAACGAAGGAGCAACATATATTGCCTTAGGCCAACACTCACTGCTTTTTCGCAATATCTTGGGAGCTGGGCGGGTGCCCCGCCCAAGGCACGCAGCAAGGTCAGCCCGTCGCTTGCCGACGGCATGGGCGCGAGTCCCACGCTGATGGCCCCTGATGAGGACCGCGCTGATACCAGCTTCTAACCCCCCGAGGTCTTGAACTTTGCTCCAGGTCGCCGCCCAGAGATCAACGTTCAGACGCCGAGGGGAACGGCGCCATTGAGGTCCGCCATTGAGGCCGTCCAAGAGGCCCTCGAAGTCCGCATGGGCCAAAAGAAGGGGGGGCACACCTGGGGGGCCTGGAAGACAGCGACAAGCTCGGCCCGAGGGGGTGACTGAACTGGGCCTGGCAGAGGCCCCGACGCCAGGATGTCGATGCCCTGCCTCTCCCCACGGAGCTTCGCGACGCCCCCGCCCGCGCGGGCCGCCTCGGGCCAATGCCGCATCCGTGATCACGCGCCGTCGGTGTACACGTGGCCAGATCCCCTGCGGATTACCGTAGTGTACCGTCCACCTACTGTCATTTATCCTCGGCGGCGTGGCGGGGAAACAGCTGCGACTGACCAATCCGCGCCACCGCAGCAAGGGATCTCGGGACATGGCGGGGAAACCCCTCCGATCGATGGCGCGCGTGAATTCGGTTCGTCTCGTGTCGAGGAAGGGGCGCTGCCATGCGATGTGGAAGATGTCACATTGTACCGGCCCACGGTGCGGGCAACATGAATCTGCGATGCATCCGCGGCGGCGGGGCCTGTCTGGCGCCCATCGGCCTCCAGCATGGCACGAAGAAGGCCGCCTCCTTTAAAATCTGGCCGCCATGCTCGGGGGG